AACCTGACGGTCGAACCTGACAAAAAACCTGACGAAAAAACCTGACGGACGAACCTCACGGGCGAACCTGACGGTCGAACCTGACGAGAAAACCTCACGGGCGAACCTCACGGACGAACCTCGCGGACGGACGGACCTGACGGACGAACCTCACGAACGAACCTCACGAACGAGGACGAACCTCATGGACGGACCTGACGAAAACGGACGAAAAAACGAACAAAAAACGAACGAAACGCTAACGAAACGCTAACGAAAAGCTAACGAAAAGCTGACGGAACGCTGACAAAAAGCGAACATGTTTTTAGAAAAATAATAGGCCGAAATTCTTCCTATTGAAATTCTTATTATTCGAAATTCTTTTTATTTTTATTTTAGGCAAGGACACCTAAAAAATTGAAGAAAGTTCCAAAATTTAAAATATGTAAAAGAGACTTGTAGTCAAAGCTTCAAACAACTGGCTCGTGCGCCTTCGGCGCGATTAAACGTAGTTTTTCCTCGTTCGTCGCTTTGCTTCTCACTCCTAAGTGGAATTGCTTGTTAATTCTATTGTGGTACAAAACATCTGCTCTGTGGAAGAGGAATGCCGGTGGCCATCGCCAAACGTCCTACAGTACAACTACAGTAACCCGAAAATCATTTTATTTCCCCCATTTTTCACTGATTTTCGTCGAGTTTTCTGTTTTTTCCCCCAAATAAGTCAAGAAAATTTAGTGAAAAAATTTGACTGGAAACTCTCGAATATCGAGAAAAGCAATTCGGAAAATACAAATATGTTTAGGTTACGGTAGTTTTCGTTGTGGGACCTTCCACCACTTTTTTGTGAAAGAATGATACATCTCCTTCCGGTTGAAATAATGTACCCATCACACCTTTGATCTTTTCATGAAAAAGCTCTCTTCTCTTTTTCTCATTTTCAAAAATACCTCGTGCTAAATAACAACTGCTCCTGGAAAGCATATCATCAGAAGTATTTGTTTCTCCGGTCTTCAATTTTGGTTTATCTGCTATAATGGAACGAACTGGCTCAGTGATTCAGTGGTTCATTTATATCTACATGTAAGTCTGTGATGATAGGAAGTGTCTTCAATCAACTTTTAAACGAGGCAAAAACTTCCTCCTTCTCATCATCTTTTTGTTCCTTGTCCAGCCCAACTTTTAATGTACTCTATATGATTTGGTTTTTTCACCGAAACCAACTATAAAAATGATGGAAACCCCCCCCCCCCCCTTTTTAGTACTCCTCGCACCACCGTACAACTAGTAATACAATGGAGAGACTACTCTTCACTACTATTGTGTGAGTTAAAAATTTCTTGTTTCCTGCTGTCTAGATACACAGCTGATAGTGACTATCAGAATATATGGAGTGGGTGGTGTACTGTGTTATGTGTCTTTGTTGATATACGTGACAGTACTGTATACAATTTGTTCGTTAGATTAGAGATGAAAAAATAAACACATAACATGGATTGCAAAAAAGTCACGTAGACATCTAAATCGGGATACTGACACAAAACTTCAGGAATTCAATGGAGCGAAAAACTCATGAAAATCTCATAGCTACACATATATCCGGTCTTATTTAGTCAGTCACCATACTTTTTTTGAAACACGTGAATTGTAACATTTGGTCTCTTGATGTTCCTGTCATACGGTAGAAGATGGCGAGTCTCATCTTATTTGTTATCAAAGCGATTGGTTACATATATTTGCCCTTCTATCTTATCTATGTCGAATAGAAAGGAAACAATCGAACAAGATCGATGTGTTGAAAAAAACCGGAAACACAGTTGAACAAAATAAAATACAGAGAATTTGGGAGATTTGATGAATTATGATTTAATTCTATAGAGATAATCCCCATTGGGAAGTACACATTGATAAGATACAAGTCTGAAAAATAAGATTTGTAATAGAAAAAAAGATGGTCATGGCCGTAGGTCTCGGAGCGTAAACTACCGTAACCTAAAAACAGCATAACATGATTTTTTCGGTTTTCTCAGTTTCCGGGTAATTTTTCTACAAAACACATTTTTTGATTTACCGAGGGAAAACTCGGAAAACTTCATTTTTTCAGGTTACTGTAGTTTTCTTTAGGGGACAACTCGCACAACGACAACTACCGTAATCTGAGAATGTTTTTATTTTCTAACTTAATTTTCTGGATTTTCACACGTTTTCTGGCAATTATTTTATATTTTGAAAACAATTTTCCGACTTGTTTGGTGTTCGTTACGAGGACCGTTGGCCACGTCCACAAGCTAAGATCTTCCATAGCTTCGATTTTCTATACAAGCAAAATACCAAATCAATTCGAATATTAATCAATTTGAATATCAATGTTCTATATATGTTAACATCTTGACTCCCCATAACACGATCAAAACTTTTCTGTTTAAGACATATTTCTAGTAGACGCAATACACAATCCAACTGCCCCTATCACGTCTTCTTTTTGAAACTGAAACCATTACGGAAACAGACAATTTTGTCCCTCTTCTTCTTCTTCTTTGCCGTTTTCTTCCTCCTCAACTAGCCCCGTTTTATGTGATGCAATCTGGCGACTGGAGAAGCATCGAAAAGTACACGTGCGCAGCACATGTATCTAACTCTTCAGTCCTCATACTATCTCATCAGTTTAGGTGTCTCCTCTGCGTCTTCGCGACGGGGACATCCCCCTTTTGCGCCCCTCCTCGATGATATTATTTCTTTTAAAAAGTCACGTAGGCTTTCAAGCTACAGTAATTGGTATAAATACAAGTCGACAACAAACTATATGAACTATCGAAAGAACGACTTCTGAATAACAAACTTTTGAGATCTCGAAAGTCTTTGGGATACTGTAAGCTTCCAAATTTTGGAATTTCTGACTTCTGCTAGTAGCAGCTTCCTCGTCATCTCTTTTTTCTAACAATGAACATGATCAGTACTAGTTCGTTGACTCTCCCTTTCATATTACACCCTTCTTCGCCAGTCTTCTTATGTTCCGCTATATGCCGCCATTTCCCTTCATCTTCACCCTTTTCTCTGCAAGTCGAACTACAAGGCAACGTGGCATCGTTTGCCCATAGACGACGTCATCGATCAGAAATCACTCCGCGACGCAACGCACCACGTTGTGTCTTTCCTAATACACCTCCACTCTTCATTATTCGTTCGCGCATATTTATATTATAGGCGGAGAGTGCAAGTCGCCTCTCTCCTATTTTCTCTTTTTACGTTAGTCTATTAGCACTTTCAAATTCTTTTCAGTTTTGTGATGTCTGAACCTTTCTCCCTTATACAAACCTCTGAGCTTTTTAGTCCTAGAACTGATCAAACATCTAGGCTTATTCATTTGACTCTCAGAGCTGTTATGTTTACAATTTTTCAGGAAAATACCAATTTCTCCAAAAAGTAAACAACATGTATTCCTTCTTGAGATTCAAAACCAATCAAATTCACCTGTTCATAAATATAATTTATAAATTCCAGAAGTCAATCATTCCACTCCAAAGTAAAAATCCAGGTCAATATTTTTTGATAAGAGTCATATTAGGTGTGTTTTGAACATCACTTTCTCTATTCTCGAGGTTAAATATCATCATTTACTAAGGTGTAGGTGACAAATGCAGATGTCTATCTGTCAAGGAAATTCTCCAATCCAATTCTGCTATTTAGATAGCTTTCGTTATCTGTTCTTTAAAGATCACGTGATCAGAGAACAACTTCCCTGATTCCTGGCGCCGCCTTTTAATCACCCGATTTCTTCCCAATCGTACTTTGTTCGCGTCTTCTTTTTTCTGTTCTAATACCGTATCAGACAAGGGGTTCACCTTTCGCTTATCATTGTTCTCTGACACTTTTTCTTTTGTGTCCCCTTCTTACAAACGTCACTGAATGAGAAATATAAATACATTGGCCCATTGAGATCATCATTTCATTCTTATACTTCCAGTTTCTTTCACTTATCTCTTCTTTTTTTCAGAATGATCCGCGTTGCTTTCCCAACATCAGCAGCTGCGATTCCTCGCTCCATTTCGACAGCAGTCAGCGAGAATATCCCAAAAAATCAAGAAGAAGATGTCAGAAAGGTATGGAGAAACGCAGATGCTGTATGCTTTGATGTTGACTCTACCGTATGCCAAGACGAAGGAATCGACGAGTTGGCCGCCTACCTGGGCGTCGGTGAAGCCGTTGCCAATGTGACGCGAACGGCGATGAACGGTAACGCCCGCTTCAGGTATAGGTAATACCCGAAAGCACGGATTTGGTTTGAAGAAATTGTGTGTGTTGTGAAGATTAGTAGATATATTTTGTCATAGAGCTAAAAGTGACATCATAACTCTTCGATTGTGATGTTTACCTTTTTAAATAACTGCATGCATTAAATTACATTTTCTTCACCTTTCCCAGCTTTCTAAAGGGAGTGTTGTTGTTTTGAAGGAGGAATGAGAAGCCTACAAAAACATACTCTGTTGTCAGTATATGTTTTGTTGTATTCAAATTCTTCTTTCCCACACAACACTCTAATTATAATTCCAACATTTTTTCAAATTTTAAATTTTCAGAGATGCACTTGCCGCCCGTCTGCAGGTAATGAAACCGAACAACGAGCAATTGGAACAGTTCGTCAACATCACAAAGCCAAAATTGACGATAGGAATCCGAGAACTTGTGAGCCGACTTCATGCACGTGGAACTCATGTCTATCTTGTGTCCGGCGGATTCAGACGACTCATTCTTCCAGTTGCCGAACTGCTTGGAATCGAGAAATCTCGCATCTATGCTAACGAAATTCTTTTTGACAAGCAGGGAAACTATCATGGATTCGATACATCTGAGTTGACCAGTGACTCGGGAAGCAAAGATGTAAGATAGAAAAGGTCGTGTTAAAAGAAAAGTTATCATAAATACAGGTTGGAAAACCAGCAGTAATTGCATTGCTCAAGAAAAAGTTCCACTACAAAACTGTGGTGATGGTTGGTGATGGAGCTACAGATGCGGAGGCCGCTCCTCCAGCTGATGCGTTCATTGGATTCGGTGGAAATGTGATCAGAGAGGGAGTGAAAGCTCGCGCAAAGTGGTACGTCACCGACTTTGATGTGCTAAGAAAAGACCTGGAGCACGACGACTCCTCCGACGACGAGTAAATGGATTATGTCTGTACATATCGTTACTTTCACGTTCTCTACTGGCTTTATTGTAATACCATGTGAATTAATTCATGCGGTTTGAATATGTTTTTTTTCTAGTTTCAATAATTTAACACAGTTTTGTGTTGTTGTGTCATAATTGACTTATTTACTTCAATGAAGAATTTTCATGGTTTTAAAAATCTTGCAAAATATCTTATTGTAAAAATGAAAATAACTTATATAGTAGATCACAAGATGAGAATCGGTTGAAATGGAAAGTTAGGATGCACGAATTGGGGGTGACACCAGGATGACTGAATCTCCACGAACGAAGAGCATTGGGACCACTCGCTTGGACTGTCTGTAGATCTCTTCGAAGGTGTCCTCGTCTACTTCCCGAGTTGTGATGGTTTCTTCGACCTGGAAAATAAAACAATTCGTTGATTGATAAACTTATTAGGTTTAATTTTAAAAACATAAGAAGTTGGAAAAGATTCCGATAGCCAATAACTAACCCACGAACTCTATTCAAAAACTCAGTATCATTTTAATTTGGCACACCGAATTTAAACATTTTCATAAAAAATTACCTCTGATAACACCATATTCAAATGCTGATCGAATGCTCTGAGACGTCCGCGCAGCTGGAAAAAAACTTATTGAAATAACTGACAACATATTTTATGAACCTCTCTGTCATTCCTCATTTTAACGTATACTTTCTCATCCAAACTGAGACGAAGCAGGTCGAGAGGCTCTTCGACGGTAGCTGATAGAGTGACTTCCTTCTTTTCAGAGGCCATTGGAATCCTGGAGTGTTGGTGGTTATAAAATACGAAGAAGCATCAATATTTCAAGATAAAATAAGATGTGTACTGAAACACTTCGGAAAGAAGTCATACCAAAGCAAAAACTGAAGAAACGTTTCATTAGATCGATACTTCAATGAAAAAAATAAGTTAAACATTAGACGAATAGTTTAGTTTTCGACAGGTGAATTGGTGGTCTGCTGTACAGCAAGTCTTTCAGGAGTAACGTAATTCATTTCGGTTAATGTATCAACGAATCCAACAGGTCCTTGTTCGCACTCGCCACAAACGAGATACTGAAAAATACAGTTTTTCTAGCATATGGAATCAACGGCTACTTACACGTTTCCCTTCTGAAGACCTTGTGAACCCAACATTCTCGAAGGCGAAAATGTCCTTGACACCAAAATATCCACGAACAGGCTCGGTTTGAGTGTGATCTATCCCTTTTTTCTGCCTTGGAAGAGGAAGATCTCGTTCCTCGTTAAGAAACTCCGTTGTCATATTTTTCAAAATCACCACAGTTTTACATTCTTTGCAAATCAATGTGTCCTCATTGGTCCTTGCTTGCACTTCGCCGGTTTCCGTTTGAATTGTTGATGACTCCTGGAAAGCGTAGTTTTAGATTTCCACAATGTATCATAGTAAATAGTAAAATTTTCATTATATATTACCGTCGAGACTGAAGGCTGCGAGTGATTCGAGGAGCTCATCTTTCTTCTCAATCTGTTTATACAATGCAGATATTTGCCCTCTTTGTTTCCCTTCTCCGACACTGATATCAGGAAGTGTCTTTATGGCTTCTTTGAAATTTGCAATATCGGATTCAACGTTTCTAAGTCGAACAGTCAATTCAGAGCCACTTCCTTTTTCCACACTAAAAAAAATTCAAAAGAAAACCGTATTCCATAGAAACAACTTACGAATTGACAAGATGATAAAGGTCAGCGTACAGCTTATTCAGATAGCTTTCAGCACTTGGTTTGTTAGCTTCCTTGCTCGTTGAGCTCATCAATGTAATAAGAAAACACTGAAATAATAGCGAAATCGGTCGATTATTCAGAGTTTTGCAATCAATTCAGCGAAAAAAATTAAAATTGGCTCGAGTGCGATAGGGCGCGATATCATTTGCAATGCTGGCACACGGTTTCTGCAATGGTGCGGCATAGTTTCTGCAGAGTATGTGTATTTTCTGGCCATCGTTATTTTTTCCGAAGTTTCGGCTTTTCCGTGAAAAGACTAGCCTGTCTGTTCCTTCGTCATAATTTTATCAAAATATCCCAAAAGCTGTCTCTCAGACAACATTTAAAATCTCTTTTTTATCCACAAAGCTAGGCTTACCGGAAGAAATGTTAACTTTTTTATTGTTGTGTGAATTTCGACCTGAATGACTTGAAAACAAATCGATTCGTCTCACGTTTTTTCGTTTTGTGTTTTGTCTTCCACTCAAAAAGTACCAATTCGGGAAGAAAAATAGTTTTTAGTGAACAATTTCGGCGATCAGATACGAACCTATTCTATCACTAGCATAACTGTTTTTCATTCTAGAATGCTCAAGCAAGCTGTGCGAAATGTATCTTCATCGAAAAGGATTTTACTCGCTTCTACAGCAACAACAACAGACAGTGCAAACGTAAGAATCAGATATTCCTTCAATCAAATTCATACATTTATCCTTCAGCTCTCCCCCATTCTTCCGCAAAACCGAAGTTTCGTCTTCGAAGTGCCGCAAGTATCTGTACCGACATTCGAATTCTCCCGGCGCGTCGGAAACATTTTCGCACAATCTTTCTACACATTTTGCTTCGAAAAAAATTTTACAGTAGAAAGTTTAGTTCATGGAGCTAATAGAGGAATTCATAGTATGAGCCATTTTTTTGCCGATGAAAAGTGGGAGCAGATGGAGAATTTAGCCGTGAAGGATACAGTGGAAAATTTGAGATTCGCAAGAAAAGGGCTCTCTAAAAAATTAGAGAGTGCTCTTCGTTTCTCCCCAGATGACATAGTTCTTTCATTTCTTCACTCATCTGTTATTTCTGGCCGAGATGTTCTGAAGTGTAAGTGAATCTATTAGATATTCCAGCTAAAACCATAGAATTTCAGTGAGCCAAAGTCACAATATTGGGATTTACTTCACAGTTGTTTCCCTTGTTCGTTTATCGGACAAAGTGCCAGATAACGCTACTATTGGGGAGCTGAATGGAAAATACAAAAACGATGTACTTGTCTGCAATGCAACGTAAGTAAATTTGTACTGAACAACGAATTCACAAGGTGTTTCAGGTTTTCTCGAGTTCTCAACCCATTAGGAATATGGAAAATAACCAGCGCGAACTACTTTTTGCAAAACTAGTGGAGAATGTATTATGCATACAAAGTGAGTGACACTGATATATAACAACAACCTTCTTCTTACGAACTAGTTGAGTGAAATGGATTTTTCGTGCATGCGAAACGTCGTCTCTTCAGAAATAGTACAGAGAATGTGTAAGCGGAGAGAGGAGACACATATTTCAACACTCTTGTTGTCTGCTCCTCTCTCTTCAGAGCAATCTTGCGTGTCTCCTTACTCTGCCAGACGCTGGCGACGCTTCTCTGCTTCTAAACCGCTTTATATATCCTCCTGCATTCAATAGTTCGATATTTACGTTTTCAGAGAACCAACAATTAGGAGTATATATGGACAGCGATGATGGGTTTGATTATTTGTTCAAAATTGTGCTTGTCGGTGATATGGGAGTGGGGAAAACGTTAGTTGCCTCAAAGAAGTGTTTTTTTTTCAAATTCAAGTCTTTTCAGTTGTGTAGTTCAACGATTTCGGAGTGGAAATTTTGTGGATCGTCAAGGAACCACAATCGGAGTTGATTTTACCATGAAAACGCTCAATGTTGGTATGTTTTCTGTTACGCCTTCATTAAATATTCTATAAGAATCGATCCGTAGATGGGAAACGCGTCAAGCTTCAAATATGGGACACAGGAGGTCAAGAGAGATTCCGAACAATCACACAGTCCTACTATCGATCTGCTAATGGAATAGTACTATGTTATGACATTACGTGCAAACAATCATTTGGCAGTCTTCAGCGTTGGATTGATGATGTGTCGAAGTTTGCAGCACCGAACGTTGCAAAGCTTTTGATTGGTAAGAAAGAATGATTAAAATGAAAATACGTTTCCCATCGTCTCTAGGTACAAAATGTGACCTGGAAGATCAACGAGCAATAGAAACAGAAGAGGCGGAACTGCTGCAGAGAGCTAATGGTTTGTGTGTATTTCAGGAGTTGAACTTTTAACTCATAATTCCAGGAATGTTTGAAATGCTTGAGACCAGTGCTAAAAATGATATCAACGTTGATAATGCGTTCCTCGAATTAGCGACGATTCTCAAGCGTCAGTATGATCAAGGAGTTGTTGAACAAGGAGCGAGCGGTACTTTCCAGCTCGGATCAGGCGGAACCACATCGATAAATTCACCATGGCAACGATGTTGTCAATATGCATAGTTAAAATCCTTTCCCATATTGCTTAACTCACACAATTGAACAATCTCATTAATAAATTTTCGTCCATTAAAAAACACATAGTTTTTGTAATCCCAGTTTTTTACTGTTATATATCTCGCCTGTTTCATTTGGTTTTTTATCTAGTTTTTTCATTCAGATGACTGATTTATTACTTGATCCTGCCATCAGAACTTGGGTGTTCCTGCCAATTGTAGTCATCACATTTTTCATTGGTATTCTCAGACATTATGTGTCTCTTCTTCTTATGAACAAAAAGAAGGTAACTTTTTCCCATTTCTAACTAATCTAAAATTATCTATGTTAGGTGGAACTCGAAAATATCGCTGATGGACAATATTTGTTACGAGCAAGACTGCTGAGAGAGAATGGAAGATTTCTCCCGAAAACGTCATTCAATGCGAGGCGGCAGTATTTGTGTGCAGAGGAAACGGGATACTTATCGAAAGCTCAACAGCGTCCAGCAAAGGGACCAAATCCGATGGACCCCAGTCAAATGACAGAAATGTTGAAAGGAAATATGATGAACATGGTACTTAACTACTTCCTGTTTTTGTGACATTTACAATTTTTCGTTCTCAGATTCCAATGATTGTCGTCGGAGGATGGATTAACTGGACATTCTCAGGATTCGTCACAACTCGAGTTCCATTCCCACTGACTTTGAAATTCAAAGCCATGCTTCAACGAGGTGTGGATCTTGTGTCACTTGATTCTGCCTGGGTTTCTTCTGCCTCGTGGTACTTCTTGTGTATGTTCGGACTACGGTCAATCTACACACTGGTGCTTGGAAGTGAGAATGCCGCTGATCAGAGCAAAGCAATGGAAGATCAAATGGCAATGACAGGTTCTGCAGTCAACCCACAAGCTGACCCACGCGCTGCTTTCAAAGGAGAGTGGGAAGCTCTTCAAATGACTCAACATCAATTCGCTCTTTGAACATTCGATTTTAATTATACGGATTTTTTTCTCTATACAGATTCCATTAAACATAATTCCATTGTAATTTATAATAAAGTTAAAGCTTTAGATTTTTATTGAGGATTCCGAATAGTGAAATTTTTGAGTTCAAAGACGGCATAGACAAAGTATAAACATATCAATCAAATTCACAATTATGTATAATTAAATGTAAAGCTTAAAGTTTAAGATTGTTTAAAACAGAATGTTAATTAATCATCATCCGATTCAATCTCTGAATCTGTGGCGTAACCTCCGGACAACAGATCAATATGGTTTCTGAAAGGCGAATCGAATATATTCAATACATCATATTATGATAACTCACGATCTCAAGAGTTGCAATAATTTCTTGCAATCATAGTCATTTCCGAGAATCGATGACACTTTCACAAAGTTTCCAATCAAGTTTTCATTCAGGTAAAATTGGAGACATGGAACACCGCTTGTTTTCTGAATACACAAACTAATCAGTTTGAATGTATATTGTTTAGTTAGCTTACAAATGCAAGACTCATGCCGAGCAGAGTGCTTGTAGCTCGAACGAACTTCGTTTTCGGATAATCCGCTGCCAGAATCTTCAAAATTCTTGTCAAATACTCGCATTCATCTGAATCTGGCTCATAAATCAGCACACATAGAAGATATGCAGAGCTTCCGCTCACAGCGTCTGAGTATTGGTTCTAGAAATGGGAAATTGGATAAGGCGAGAGATCGCATAGCTTACCTTATCGGTCATCTCAATCACTCGGTTTGCAGCTATCTTACGCATTTCTCTCAGTCTTTTGGCTTTCAGACCTTCAAGAGTCATCTCAAAATCTTCATCTTCCTCATCGTTTCTCTGGACTTTCTCTCTTTCTTCTTTTGTTCCAACCATCATTCCCTTTCTTGCTTGTTCAATTAGTTTTTGATTTCTCGATTCGTAAGCCCTGAAAAACGCTCGTTCATGTTAAGGATAGACTATTTCTCACAAAACTAACAACTTGGTCTGCTCCTGAAACGCTTTAAATTCATTGAGAACCCCTTTCGCCCCTGTACTGGAGGAAGGACCCATTCGTCGCATGACGTTCGCCTGATGCTCGTCTTCATCGTTCACAACCTTGAAGTCATCTTCTTCTCCTTCGGAACTGCTACAGTATCCAGCAGGCTTGCCATCAAGAAGGCGAGATTCCAAGTTCATTCTATTGATATTAATTTAACGGTGTGCCCAAGGGAGCAAACAAGAATATAACGATATATGTAGAAAATGGAAATATACCATTTCAGAATCAACGAACACAGTTAGAAGTATTTATTTGAAATAAAAATTGTATATTTGTTCTATCCATCAATATGCGAATTACTAGAAATGTCTTAAAAGGAACCGACTTCGCTCCCAATAAAACCCGGAAAAGTAGGTTCGGGCAATTGATAGCAATTATTCCAACCGTTTCGACAAAAACTTTTCGAATGTGGTAAATTTCTCGCGAATCTTTCCTGACAACTTTCCTTGATCTCTTTCTTGTTGATCGATCATTTTCCAGGCATCCCATGATATGAATGGCACCTTCCGCTCGTTCAGGACAAGATCAACTCCGGGAGCAATACTATGACGAGTATGGATAAAATCGGAAGCGATTTGATCAGCTACAAAACTCGATTGTTGTTGGGTATCCACGATAACTCCCCTTGGACCATGTGCACACCATCCTGAGAAAATAAAACGGATTGTAAGCATTTGGCAATGGAATATTACCTGTAGCATAAACATGAGCAGGACATTCAGCATTTATGTTCACTCGGCAGTGATCCTTCATATCAATCATTTTCTGAAAATCGCTGTAAACTTGGATGTAAGAAACGTAAAGTTTTTACATTTTCGTTCTGTGGAACTCCGTCTAGAACAAGAGTTTCATACCCAATCGAATAAATCAGCAGCTCACAAGGAAACGTTTCTGTTTTCGAAGTTTCTGTGTTTTCAACAACTAGTTCCCGAACCATTCCATTCGAATCAGCAACAACTTCCTTTGGAACGCGGTGAAACAAAAAATGGCATTGTCTCAATCCGCTTGTTGTTCCAGTGTTTTTAACAAGAACCTGAAACAAAATTAAAACTCCATTTTTCAAAATTCGATTCCGATGTGGTCACCTCAGTCAAACGCTTCTTCTTTCTCTCGAGTTTCGGTAGACTTTCTATCAAGTTCTTCAGATCTGTTTCCGATATTTCTAATTTGCTGTCCCATTCTTGAATTTTGAATTGCTCACGAAGCTCTTTAATTGTGAATGACACCTGGAAAGAAATAAATTTATTTCATTGAAAACGGAAGATGTGCAAACGCGAGACCGAGAAATCGATTAACGCCGCCTACTGCTCAAGGAAGGAAATCGAACAAGAGAAGCGGGAGCTTGCAAATGAGACTGCGCGTTCGATGGTGTGATGCCTACTGCATCTTCTGGCGAGTAATTAGTGGAAATGAGAAGGAATAAATTTACAGATATTATATGTTTTTACTGTAATCAAAATCAAAGAGCAAGAATCTGCATTTTCTGAATACCATAGATAATAGTTGTGATTTCATAGCAATCGTTTTATTCGAAGATTGTTCTTTAAAGCTAAGCCTACCGTAACCATAAATTTGCTCGACTCACGTTTTCAGGACCTCTCCTTCCTAATATTTTGATATCTTTGGTTGCAGTTTTCTCCAAGACAGATAGTCTTTCATCGGGAATGTCGCTGATCCTCAGAGATCCCGAAGAAGCTGTTGAAAGTACTCGGGCGCAATCTAAAGCGACATTTCCGTTTCCAACAATGACCACATTTGATGCAGATAGATCAGGTGTAGGCGCGTTAGGTACTCCATTATACCATCCTACAAAATCTGATCCAGATATCACATTTTTCGATGCACATCCAGGAACACCCAGTTTTCTTGCCTTGTATGAGCCGTAGGCAAGAAGTACTGCATCATATCCACGAGTCAACTCATCGAAAGTAATGTCCTGACCAATTCTGAAACATGTTTTTTTTGTCAGTTTCAAATTGAATCGGTCTTACTTGACATTACAATATAGTCTCAATCTCTCTCGGTTCTTCTCAAACATTGCATCGAATGTGTTAATTACATTTTTTACCTAAGTACTTGAGCATTAGTTATATTAAAACATTTTTATGATTACTTCTTGGTGATCTGGGGCTACACCATATCGAACCAATCCAAATGGCACAGGAGAATACTCGAAAACGTCCACAAGGAAATTACTCTTCCGGAGTAAGCCGTTACAGGCAAACATTCCTAAATTTCGATGGATTTACTAACCGCAATCTCAAGTTTTCCAAATACCTGCCGGTCCAGAACCTACAATGGCAAGCCGTGGCTTTGAAGAAAGTTTCCTCGTTTTATATGTGAATTGAATATTTCCTATCCTCCGCATCAACACTTTGGCGAACATCTTCAATATCAATTTGCATGTTTCGCCATTTTCAGGTTGGAATGTAAAACAATGAGAAGAAACCCAAGATGAATAAAAATTCGCAGAAAATAGTAACGAATTCATTTTGAAAAATCAGTACCCTTGAAAAATGATGAACACAATAATTAAATACCATAGGATGGAATGAAAAATTATGAGGCAGCACGATAGAGATGAACATGTACAGCAGAAACTGATCGGTGACGAGTATCGGTTTGATCCAAGTCCAAAAGTGATATAATGTCATCGGTACACTGCACAGTTGATGTTTGAATATCAGATTTCACACTTCCTCCAAACTTCCTTTCAACTTCCATGGCAAAAACCAAGGCTTTGTTCACAGATGCACCCATTCCATGGATGTAGATTTCGTCAAATGAGTTGTTAAGCATCTCTTCGGCGGTTTTTGCTTGAGATTCGACATTGGTTTTTCTGTTTTATTCTTTTTAATAGATGGAGAATGCAATACATATATCGACTCACCTAGTGATATAAATATGATTTGGTTCTTCGCATGGCTTGACTGGTGGTCGACGGTCCACTGTATTAATTTTTTCGTCGTACCGTTTTGATGGTGTTGTTGACATATGGATAGACATTTTTCACAGGAATAGCACAACGAATGCCATACAGAAACAACTTATGGATACCCAAGGACTGAGCCGCTCTCCGATCCGAGCACACTTCCAGAAGAATCCAAGAAGACTGAAAAGTTATCATTGAATATAACAGAATATCAGGAAAATGATAAGGTGCGAAGTTATAAGCAAAGAGAAATCCATACCCTTCCTTGTTTCTGTCGATTATTCTTGGAGCGAATGCTCTGATATAAGCACAAGTGCAAATGAGAAGAAGAATAACAGATATGAGACTTTGAAAGTTGAAGATAGCCGACTAAAAACCAAAATTTTTTATTTCAATTATTAATTCAAAAACCTTACCAGTTTTGCTGTTTTTGCAACCAAAGATGGTGCCTTTTTAAATAATTAAAAGTTTTTGCTTGTGAAAGAAAGTGCGATTATTTTCCAACTGTGTTGGCTGTTTAAAGGCGCAGAGTGTTTTACGGCCGGCGGGTCTCGCAGCGCGGGGGCCCTGGACAGTAGGCCAGTTAGAATGCAAAACTGAATTTTTTTTTTCTTTTTTTTAGCGAATTTCCTACGATTTTTCTCGGTTTTTTCCAGCAAAATCAATTTTATACCAACAGCAATCAATTCAGAAAGAAAATTACGGTTTCTTTGGTATATTACAGTCCTTGTTTTGTAAAAATATTGAAATTTGCTACTATTTTCGTAAATTTGTGTTAAATGATGTTCCAAATTATATTCTGTGTGAAATATGTTTTTTTTTCAGGTAAAATGCGTTACGTTTCCGCTTACTTGCTCGCCGTTCTCGGAGGAAACGCCAACCCAAAGGTAATTTTTATGTTTTGATTATGAATATTCAAAATCGCATTTTTCACTCGTAAAACTAATAATAATTTGAACTTTTAGGTTGATGACCTCAAAAACATCCTCAGCGCTGTTGGAGTTGATACTGATGCCGAAACCGCCAAGCTTGTTGTCTCCAGACTTCAAGGAAAGACCATTGAGGAGCTTATCGCTGAAGGGTCAGCATCCCTCGTTTCCGTAAGTCTTACTATCATCCGGGAAGGAACGATCATTTCATAACACTGAAAAAGTTCAGACACTAGCGGTAGTTAAGAAAATGTCGAAAAATTACCGTTTTCGTTGGTTGATGGTTGAATTTGAATCTTTTTTTCAACAATATCTACTTTTTTACTTTTCTTGGGGAGATCTAGTTGGCAATAATGTATCTCAAAAGTATGGAATTTTTAGGTGTCCGGAGGAGGAGCTCCAGCCGCCGCTTCTGCTGCCCCAGCTGCCGGAGGAGCTGCCCCAGCCGCTGAAAGCAAGCCAGCCAAGAAGGAAGAGCCAAAGGAGGAATCTGATGACGACATGGGATTCGGACTTTTCGACTAAAGCTTTTGGATGTTAATAAATTGTTATTGTTTTCTCATGTTCCTCCGATTCATGTTTGGGGCATTACATATTTACAACTAATTAATGCTCGAAAAAAAACTAATTAGAAGGCATGCAAATTCGGCAGTGTGTGTATGAAGTTGCTCAGACAAATCATGGAGAGGTGAGACCATATCCTTCTTTGTGGTCCCGGCGAGATTTGATATATTAGGTACTGATCGCAGAATGTGTGAGCAGCCGGAAAGCAGTTGCTATCTATTTTCTGGACAATGATTTCGATTTGCAAATGGAAGAGTTGCAAGAGACTTATCCTACTGTTCAGTTCGAGAGTGGAAACCCTACACAAACGGCATTGGTAAATATTATTCCGGCGAGCAAGACTATATACTATTCTTGCCAGGTTGTCCGTGCAATTAACGATCTAGATTGCTCTTTGGAAGTAAAAATGGTTCAAAAAGCGAATACCCCATTCGCCGCTCAAGTTTACAATGCTGTTCAAAAAATTCCAAAAGGAGAAACTCGATCTTATTCTGATGTAAGGTCCCTAAACAATATGAATTATAATATCAGAGAAAATTGTAGATCGCACGAGAGATCGGAAACCCATCAGCCACACGAGCTGTCGCAGGAGCGTGTGCTCGGAACAACTTGGCTTACATCGTTCCATGTCATCGTGTCATTGGAAGCAGTGGAAATCTTTCCGGATACCGTTGGGGCATTGCTAAAAAAAGAACACTACTCCAGGCGGAAGGTGCTGAACTCAGATTCTCCGCTATGTAATCACTAACAGTTTATATTGTTTTTTTTCAAATGCTGATTACCATGTGGGAGATAGTTTTTAGTTTTCGCTTGTGCTGTTTTTTCTCAATAAAAGATCTCGTTTCATAAGTCTCGCAAATCAATGACATCTCCCATTTTCGCAGATTATCTAAAAAACTAAGATTCGAAAAAATATTACACTGTGATGCTACAGAAGAAGACGAATGTCTGAAAGTTCAAGCTGACATCGGTGGTTTTGTAGTGATCAGTTTCTATTTTTCTATTTGACCATTCATGGTGAAAATTAGCGAAAAAATCTCGACGAAACTCGAAAACTAGATCGAAAAACGATAAAAATTCAGAAAAGCTCCTAGCTGTTTAAAGGGAGGCAACGTTTCACCGGTCGAGGGTTTCGCAGCGCTGTTAAGATCTACCGTAACCCGTCGGTCGACCTTCCTTCTCAAATTTTTCGCTTCTCAAATTTTGCCTTTTTTTCGAGGATTTTGATGTTGACTTTTGATTTATCGTTTTTCACTTTGATTTTTAACAGAACCTCGTTATATATATTTTTTTTAATCGGGTTTCTAGGTAATATGCGTTACATCTCAGCCTATCTCCTTGCCGTCCTCGGAGGAAACGCCAACCCACAGGTGATTTTTTTTGTTGGTTCATGACTCAGGTAGTTCGGAAAACCTTTCTGAGCCATGAACACGCCACGATTAAACTAAAAAAGGTGCCCGATTAGCCACGACTGAAAAAGTTTATAAAGGGCTTAGAATAGTTTTGTTATTGCTTATTGTCGAATTAAAAAAAGTGGGACCTGAAGATTTGAAAGGCGTAGCTTTTTTTTATCTACGAAAAAGTGCGGCAAAAACGGAATATTTCAGATTTTCTCCTCGTTCGAGCTACTTTCGCAATTAAGTTCGGTTTTTCGATGAAAAACAGATTCTAGAGATGTTAGCGGTCATTTTCATACCAAGAAATCTAAATTTTGTCCAGAAAATCCCACTAAATTCACAGAAATAAGTTTCGTTTATTACCGTAGTGTTTCTGGGGCAAGGCCTCGAAAATTGACCGGGAAGCCGCCCGCGAAATTTTCCAGGTCCCAATTTTTTTAATTCGACAATAGAAAAGTTTATCCATTGCTCGAAAAAGTTTGAAGGTGCTAATAATAGTTTTACTGTTGCTTAAAAAGGTTTACTCGTTGCTTGAAAAAGTTATAGAAGGGCTTAGAAAAGTCTTTTTGATACTTAAAAAGGTTTATTCGTTGCTTAAAAAAGTTGTTTTACTGCTAAAAAGGTTTTATCGTTTCTACTAAAGGTTTAAACTATTGATTTTTTGAAGACGGATTTTCGGAAAATACATTCATCAGAGAAAAAGAAATTAACAAAAAAATTTAAACTGAAGCGGAATCTCGATCTCGAAACATCTTTGAATCTCAGATCGTAGCGCATCCCCGTTGTTATCAGCCCAATATCATATCCTCCTGGAAATATTTAAAATTTTTAGAAGTAGATATTAAGAGCTACAACTCACTGTTATGGAAGGCGTTCTCTCCTGATTCATACGTAGTTTCGATAGTGTCTTTGGAGCGGGTTCATGTGATCGCGATCATGATCTAGTGTTCCTCAATTTGGTGTAACACGATTTTCCAAATTGTCGCTTAGGAAGTTTGAAGTTTCTCCTTGTCTGAAATTATGATAGGTAAATTCATTTTTACTAAAACTGACGGACCGTATGCTAAATTACTCCGTTCTGACGGCAGCTTTGAGTTCCCATTCAATGATTCATCATGACGTTTTTCCGATGATAGTTTTTGAGCAATATATCAGGATTCCAGGAGATTGTGATTTGGATTTTCTCTCAAATAAGCATTTTATGACTTTCAAACATGGAAACAAATAAATAATTAAAAGATGATAAAAATAAAACAAAATTAGATAAAATAATTTTTTAAAAAACAGAATTAATCTTTCGAAAAGCCAGAAAAGTTTTAATAATGCTCGAAAGGTTTGAAAAGTTTAAATATGACTGAAAAAGGTTTAACTGTGGCTTTAAAAAGTTTCAGTTTTGAGCGCAGCTGGATAAAGTTTACAAGTTGCTCAGAAAAGTTTGATTGTGGCTTGAAAAAATTTAATCGTGGTCTTTTTGCTTGAAAAGGTTTCAGAATTGCTCAAATGTAGCTCAGAAAGTTTTCCGATTTACCTGAGGAATAAAACCCTCATATTTTACGCAATCATGTAATAATATTGATTTTCAGACTGATGACATCAAGAACATCTTGAGCGCTGTTGGAGTTGATGCTAATGCCGAATCCGTCAACCTTGTTGTCTCCGGACTTAAAGGAAAGAACATTGAGGAACTCATTGCTGCAGGATCAGCAAAGCTCGCTACTGTAAGTTACTACCCGAAAAGAAACGATTTATTTTTAACAAGCTTGTTGAATAAAGGTCGAACTCTAGCGGAAGCTTAGAAATTTTCGAAAATGCCGTTTTTGTTGATCGATGGAGTCGGCCGTTGAGTTGAGTCGACTCGTTAGATTTTGTTAAATAGAACTAGTTTTTTCTTTCTCCCAGGAAGAGCTACTGGGAACTAATTATTCTGAAACTCATGATAAATTTTCAGATTTCTGGAGGAGTCGGAGCCGCCTCGTCTGCTGCCCCAGCTGCCGGAGGAGCTGCACCAGCCGCTGACAGCAAGCCAGCCAAGAAGGAAGAGCCAAAGGAGGAATCTGATGACGATATGGGATTCGGCCTTTTCGATTAAAGCTTTTGGATGTTAATAAATTGTTATTGTTTTCTCGTGTTCGTCTGTTACATTTAACAATGCACAATGTATGTTATTGAGCGAAACTCGTGACAGAAATGGGAACTGATACACTTATTAGAAAGAATATCCATCATATTTTCACTGAGGTCTTCATAATTCGTGCTCCTGTATCCACTGATGCTTCCAACTTGAAGGCTCGGCTGAGACCATACAGCTTGATGATGGATTTCCTGCAACGATGTTCTTTATCAGGGAGATCTTTTGAATTTAACCTGTATTCGGAAGCTCTCCAGAAATAGACGAAGAAGTTTAGAGAAGCGTTGATTATCACAAGCCATCCCAATTGTCGATTGATCTCGGCTGTCACCTCGGGCGAAAACTTGCTTACCTGAAGTTTAAACAAATAATTGTGATTCCAGCTGCGAGAATTCAGGAATTCTCTGTGACATTTTTCAAATGAAAGTTTAGCTAAAATGGGTTCAAAATTTCTTCCCATAGCAAATTTCCCGTATTCGGTTTAGTAACAAAAAGAAAACTCATGATTCTCTTCCCGTTTGTTTCAGTAGAATTCACAAAAGTCTCATATGCTGATGTGCAAAAATCGGAACAGTGGAAGAGAAAATCCGGTTGCCGCGGTTCCGACCGAATTATCGCAATTAGCAAAAAAAATTAATAAAAAACTTGTCGAGATGCGACAGTAATTGAGAAAAGATACTGAAAATTTTAGGTCACGGTGGTTTTCGTTACTGGAACCGTTTGCCACGCCCACAACTTTTTTCTTTCCCTGCTCATAGTTTTTAATACCAGAATAATACCGGCCATGTTTGTTGTTGTTACATGACAAGTTGTTGTTGTTGTTGAAACTTGAATATTCCCATAGTTGATCTTTAAGGGAAGGTTTTTCAGACAACGGTTGAGAATTTGCTCAAAATTTGTACAAAGGCACTTTCGAACATGCTGAATCCAAAAAAATTTTTATCCCGTTCTCAAAAGGAGCCGAAATATGACCTTTGAAAGTGCTTTTAGTACTAAATTTTGGCCAAAAACATGCATTTTTCAAGGTTAAAAATTAGTTTTTCAGGATTTGCTTGAGTGCAAAACTCATTTTTGGATATTTTTCTATCTTCTAAAGTATCTTTTAAACATTTTCAAAAGAAAAATTTTTTTGAAAAATTTTGAAAAAAATCACCATGGGGTCCCCCACACTGCAAAAGTGATTTTTTGAAAAGTGCGAAAAAACGTTCCAATTATTCAGAAACGATAAAAATAGCATTCTGACAAATTTTTTCAGCCCAATGTTGTCTTTGGGCTCAAAAAATTTCCAAAATCTGATTGTTGTTAGAACTTTGACAGTTCCTATTTCTGAAATATCGCTTGAAATTAACTGAAACCTATAGAAATAGGTTCGAATCTTGTATGTGATCGATTTGACAGTATTCCACCTCAAAAAGAGCAAAATTGAGCAACTTTCAGAGACTGAAATTTTCGTTTTTAACGATACGAGGATGTAAGAACCGGTAAAAAAGACCATTATCTATTTTTTCCTCAAACTCTCATAAAATCTTTTTTTCTTTGAAAATTTTTGAATTTAATAAAAAGTGTCATATAGTGCCTAGGGGGGCAAACTTGGAATCAAAAATTAGTTTCAAAAAATTCAAAAAAAAGTTTTACCACAGTGGGGGGTCGAACCAGCATAGTCAATCCTAATGAGTCACCCTCTTACCACAACACCACACAACCGATATTTTCCTCTCAGGCGGAATTGGTGGAGGTGGGAAGGGGAAGCCGAAATCCTCAGCGCACCGAAATCGGCTTAAATTTTCAGACAAAGTTTTTCGGCCTGGGAGTGAGAACGGGCTAAAAATTTGTTCGTCATCGTATAGAGCATGTCTTAAACTATAAGCATGCAAATTTTGAGCAAATTCTCAACCGTTGTCTAAAAAACCTTCCCTTGTTAGTCATTCGAACTCAAGATATGCCTTATTTACCTGTGAAACAACGAGTGAGCTTATCGTGAGAAACCACGTGCAGACATAGATTGCAATCACGACGGTTAGAGATTTCAGAAGTCTATTAACTGTTTCCACAGTCTGTTCGTGTACATGCTTAGCTGTAAAAATCCATTCAGATAGATGCTACGATAATGGAACTCACCTTTAAGTATCCGACATCGAATATGAGCCCCACCATAGACAAAAATAACGAGAATTGAAATAATAAAGTTAGAGCCAATCCATATATTTCTCGATGTTCCTGTGTAAGCGGTTGGAGGAAGGCAAACCGGAACTTTTTCAGAATCTGTAGTTAAAACATTGATTTGATCAAAAATAAAAATATTCACCGGTTGCGTATTGGTATCCAAATAATGTGATAAAGAAAGAGAATAAAACACAAAAAATAACAAGTGCAATATAGATCGAATTCGGGAGTTTTGAGTATCTGGAAAAAAAGGTTCTAGGTAACCTCAAAGGCCCAGAAGCTTGTTTTTAAGGACTTACTTAGTAGGAAAGGTAACATTATAAAGTCGATCTAATCCTATAACAAGACCTAATGAGCTTTGCATATTCAATGCAAAAAGACCGTAACTTGATAGAAGAAAACATTTAATTGATGAGAGCGTATACATATCTAGTATCATGAGAACTCGTAAATGAACCTGCAACGTCTTCCTTCAGATACAGTAACCCATTATACTTCTCCTACCAAATAAACACAAACAATGACATCAAAAAAAGCTAGAAGACCAATAAGCAAATTGCATCGAGATTGTAGTCGTTTGTTGCAAAGAGTTATCAAAACTATCGTTGTGTTCCCAAATAAGCCAATTATAGATAAAGCCAATGTTGAATAAATCATAGGGGCAGGTACAAGATCTGTCGTATTCATTGCAACAGAGAAACTAGAATATTTTTATCCGAATGAGAGAAAATGTGTTTTGACTGGGAAAAAACTCTGTTGACTGAATCGAAGTTACAAGGCTTTCATGGGAAAATGCTCTCTTGAAGTTTATTCTCTGCAATGATATTTTTTGGGCGGATACGAAGAATAATAGTAAGACAGAGAACAGAAAAAATGAACTTAAGTAGAAATTTTTTTACTGGTTCTTATTTTCCCTTCTCAGAACGATTACCTTGAAACCTCTAATAGAAGAGCAGTTTCCAGTTTCCCACAGTTTCAAGTTTGAGATTGTTTTTCTTAGCCCCTACGCAAAATATCAAAAATGGATAAAATGATAAAATGTTGGTGATATTATGATAAAAAAATTTACCGGTTGACAACTTCTCTATATCTTGGACAAGAACAGAGATAAATTGGGTCAAAGTCAAGAATTCGGGGGGCTCTTCTATTACAAGTTTTGAGGTAGTTTAAATCATTGACATTTTTAAGCATAATTAAAATCAGAAGAAACATGAAAACAAATGAACTGCAATCAACAATCAGACGGTTTTCGAACAATTGAAAAATTCTACCAATTACAGTAATCTTTCTAATAATTCCAAAAAATTGGAATTTTGGGGATTCAGAAGTGAACCAAAGACACCCCTGGTGCCAGTTTATGCAGAAATTGCGTTATGTCAATCAGTAGAAAAAATGAATCATTGGAACCAGATCTCTAATCCGATGGAGCTGACAAGAGAAGTGTTTTCAGAGGGGCGTTGAGAATTTTCTAAAAATTTCAGTACTGATAGTTTGAGATATCCGTAACACGATGACAAAAAATCTAGGTCATAGTATCATCAACAAGCTGAAAATCTTCGTCTGAAAATTTTTATACCGGTTTCGCCCCCTCCCTCACTCCACTACGCCCCTCTCTCCTATACGCACTCCGCGCAGAGGAAAGTATCGGTTGTGTGGTGTTGTGGCAAGAGGGAGACTCATTAGGAGTGACTATGGTGGTTCGAACCCCACTGTGGTAAATCTATTTTTTGTTTTTTCGAGACGAATTTTCGATATCAATTTTGGTCCCCTGAATAACAAATTATACTTATTTCATGAATTCCCGACGTTTTCAAAGTGAAAAAGAAGGCGTTTGAAATTTTGAAGAAATTTTGAAACATTGTTTTTTCGACTTGTCCAATCGCCCAAAAGCAAAACTTTCGACTCTCGGAATCGCTCCGTCTTGCTCTTTTTTGAGTGGAACACCACCAAATCGATCACCCAAATGATCTTTACATATTTTTGTGTATTCTGTGCGATTTTGTGCAATATTTGAGAAGTTACAGTTTTTCAAATTTCTTGCAATTATCAGATTTTGGGAATTATCAGGGCTCACAGACGAAATCGAGCTGCCAAATTCTATGAAAATGATGTTTCTATCGTTTCTGAATGTTTGAAAGACTTTTTTGCACTTTCAAAAAAATTTCTCAAAAAATCACTTTTAAAGTGTGGGATACCCCATGATGATTTTTTCAAAAAAAAAACCGAAAAAATTTTTTTTGAAATTGTACACAATATGGTTCAGATGATAGAGGAATGATCAAAAAAGAGCTTCCCGCTTGAAAAAATCCTGGAAAAAAGAGTTTTAAAGCTCGAAAAATGCACGTTTTGGGTCAAAATTTAGTACTGAAAACACTTTGAGAGCCCATATTTTTGTTCCTATTAGGGTTATGACCGAGATATTGCTGAAATCGTATTCAGCATGTTCGAAAGTACTTTTGTATAATTTTGATCTAATTCTCAACGCCCCTCTGAAAACACTTCCCTTGTGAGTATAATTGAAAATAGTTTAACTGAAAATCTGATTTAATCCTCTCCTCTGAAAAAAATATCTGACTGACAAGTACATTACTGATCTATCAGTGCGGGGAAACTGCATATTTTCGTGCCCTAAAAATCATGCGCTTTCTAATTTCAGCTGATTTCATTATCACACTCCGTCTGAAAGGTTTATCATGACAGTTGATTTCTACTAAATCTGGCAACGGGCCAAAAACGGGCCACTAGTGGGCCCTGCCATATTTTCTTTTAGGATCTTGGACCAACTAAATCGGATATGATAGAACTTAATAAGCACTACAAAATGAATTTTTTGAAAAAATTGTATCTTGTCTATGAACAAAATTTACAAGCTATAAAGCTGTGACAGCATAGCTCGGACAGTTTTTGGCGTATCTACGAAAGAGATTATATTTCTTGAAATACAACAGCTACTTGGTCAATGTGGCATGAAAATAAATACATCTGAATATTTAAAAATACTCTCGTGAGAGATATTTTTGATAACTTCAGTTTGATGTAGGTCGTTTCAGGTTACAGGTGCAAAATTTTCTAAAAAGGGGTAGAACAATATTTCACATGAATATTCGTACGAATATGATATTTGAAAGAATCTAATTTCTGATTCAACTGATTCGAATACTCTCTGTTCTGTTCCATTCTAATATATTCTGAGCCCCTTTTTGATCTTTCGCTCTGTAGTAAATTTGTCTGACCATTAGTTGTCCTGCCACTCAATTTTTATAAATCAAATGAATTTCATTAAGAAGTGGTTTATGAACAAGGAAATCAAATAACGAATTGTGACCCGAATGAAATGATTGAATGAAATCGGATTAGTACCAACAAATAATGAAACAAGCATGGATCACTCCTGGAATAAAACCCAGAATTGTGAGAACAATGTTGATTATCAAGTCAGCTCCACATCCTTTTTCCATCCACACTCCGATTGGCTTAAATAATTTCAATTGGACTAATAATTAGAAAATTTTAAAGGGGGACTCCAACCAAAAATTTTTATTGCATTAAAATGTGTTAAAAGTTATCTATTTTCCGAATATTATTGCGAAAAAATTCAAAAAAATCCGAAATTCCCAAAAAACGCCGTTGAAAAGGAAGAAAATTCAAAAAAAGGTGCCGCCGGGGGACGAGGATTTTCAGTGAGAAACCTAGGCCACGGCAGCGGGCGCCTTTCCTATGTGGCAAATTTTCCGGATTTTTTTCAATTTCATGTCCGGCAGGTAAAAAACGT